GTCCTGCTCTTTCCTTATGGTAGGTCCTGAGGGCCCGATTTTGCTCCCTACCACCACGACTTAGAGAACAAACATTTTTACTCTAAGGTTGCTTCTTCCCCTCCAGCTACAGGAGAACATTTTACTGCTTCTCGCTGGAAAGAAACACCAACACGCTTACAACTACATTCTTGAAATTTAACTAAATATGTAAAAGCTTGTTGGTACTACTAAATTTTTCAGTTTGTTTTCAACAGTCTGTAAGAAAATCACAATATTATTAAAATAATAAATAAGGGATTTTCTCTCAAGGATATAAAAATTTAGTACATTATAGCAAAGTATGGTATAAAATTGTTGCCACCAAACTTTACTGACTCAAAGTGTACAAGAAATTAAGCATTTCATTACCATGATGTTGAAAGATTATTGGTAATTTCAATGAAGCTTATTATTAGGCAGATGAGGAAGAAGGTAGATTCTGGTTAAGTGTCATTACCGGATACAATTCATCAATACCAGATAGAACATAATTAAATACATTGGATATGACACTACACTGTTAAAAACAAAAACAAATGTGTTATGGTTCTAATTCAAGCTTATATGAAATATTTCAATATTAATATAAGAAATATCTATAAATAAATATATATATATTTATCTATAGTAATCCTAGAAATACTGCCTTAATAAAAATGGCAATATTTATTTTTTATTTATTTATAAATTCATAAAGTGAGAACCACAACCAGTTAAACAATACAGAAGTGTTCATACTCCCTAATCAAAGAAATGCTTAAGGAAACAATGAGGTATCATCTTTTGTTTACTATAAAGCACCTCCAAAAATATGGCGACTCAGTGTTAGTGCAACCTACTCCATTCAAACTTGCTGGTGTCACTCCACAAGGAAACAACTCTTTGAGGAAGCAATTTGGTAACATATGCACACATGGTATCTAATATGCATACATTTCCATGCAGACTTATTCAGAACCAGAAAAGCCTATCAGGAAAGACATGATGCATTTTTACATAGAAAAACACAGAAAACTACATCATTACTTTCCAACAACCTAATATATATGTTTCTTCCTCAATAATCTTACTTCCAGGAATCTAGTCCAAGTACCAGAGGAGAAAATAGGAAAAAACGAACACACAGAGAAAATCCCACATACCCAGATATTAAGTATCACAAAATGTTTATTACAGAAAAGCCCAACATACGGGAAATTACAGTACAGTCACTTTATGGGATACTATACAACTATTATAAATGAGAAGTATAAAGCATGAAGATTGTGTAACAATACAGAAATTTGTATGACTATGTAAAATATAATGAAAAGGGAATAATAAAAATGGTAATAGTTATTGAATAATGGTCACAGAATTACGTGAGTTTTCCTTTTCACTTTCCCTTCAACTTTTCTCTAATGTCGCACCATTACTTTTTGTAAAATAACGTACAAGTCATTTAAAAAAACAATATTGGTACTACTCTAATAAATAAATAATGCTACATAATTAACATAAAGAAGGTACTTTTGGATCTTGAAATTCCTCAGAAGTATCTCTATAAATAACTGTTTTTTTTTTTTTTTTTTTAACAACTACTGGTTAAGTATTAAAGTGGCAGTTACAGATTTCCACCTGCCAGTGAGACAGTTTTGTTTTAAGGACCTATCAGAATTAGGTCTGCTTCAAATCAAGATAGACATATTTAATTCTTGTCATTGAGCTTCCTTCCCAGATCCTTAAACAGAAGATGTATAACTTAACAGCTTTCAACAATAAGAATATAGATACTGAACATATAACTAAATGATGGATATAAAAAACACGGGTATAAGAGTTTAAGTAGGTAAAGGGAATGCGCACCAAGACAGATCAATGGGAACTGTAAACAAGAAAACCTTGGTACTCTAACCCTACTCAAAACAATAAAGCTTTAGTAAGTGAGGATCCAGAGTTCTCTATCAGCTATGCCTTCAACACTGCAAAATTTCCCATGTAATAGATGTATTTAATTTAGGGTCAAAACTATCAGAAAAGGGATTGCATATGAATACCAAAAAAAAAAAAAAAAAAAACCCCAAACACTAAACCCACCTCACAAAAAATAGGCAATAATCTGGAAATTTTGCTTCAATCTTTTCATTTTTATTCTTGAGGGAAAATGGAAATTCTTACCTTTTCTTTGTTGGTTCCGTTGCATTCTTTCCAAGGATTTCTCTAATGAGAAGATAAATGCAGGTCATTACATATGCATAGACTAACTAGCGCTGACCCCAAGAGTGAGTAAGAGGGACTCACAATGTTGATTATCTTGGCCACACCACTGGAGCTAACCTACTACTAAAAAGCATTATAATGTGCACATTTAAAATGCATAAAAAATGATATGTTCCAATTAAATATCACTAACAACACTGTAACTTCCACCGCATCAAAAACAGTTTACTTAAAGTACTGTGTCATCAGAAACAACATGACACATTTTTGTATAGAAAAACATGAAAAAATACATCATGACTTTTCTAATGACCTAATATAAACTTCATTTTACTAGTAAAACATGGTACCAGGCTGGCAGTCATTTTCATGCACTGGGAACGTCTTAGATTCACTCACACAGAGAAAAAGTGAGGATCTGTTGCAATATAAGCTGGACAATGCCCTGCAACACTTACAAAAAAGTGAATGGAGAGATTCTCAGCAAATACTCCTGAAGAATCAGAGGGGAAGTTGCATCAGCAGCTTCCTAGTTCTAAAGCTCTCTAGAAGTATACTGTACCTTTCCCAGATAAGTAAAATGATTAAAATTCCATATTAAATAAAAATGCCAAAGTTTCTAATTCCATAGTCCAGGATCTGATAACAAAAAGGATAATGAGGGGACCAGCAGATGGCGTAATGGTTAGGTCACTGGACTCCCATGTCATCGACCATGATTTGAGTCCCAGACCTGGAGGCTTAAAACTCACACCAGACGTGTGTGTGTGCATGCCCAAAATCCTGAGAGAAGAATGGAGAAGGGATTTCGGTGTGGCCATCCCCTCAAGGGAGTGATTCCTTGCTTTCTGTTTCTCTGGCGAGCACATGCACTCTATAGCAAAAATCTCTCTTTTAAAAAAAAGGATAATGGGAATATACTTTTTACTGCCTCATTCAAATAGAAACATGTCTACAGGACTATTCTGCTTTTCAGGGGAATGTTATTTTGTATAATAAAACATCACTTCATAAAGTTACTAAACCTAGGACTCAGTTTAAGTGACTAGAAACCTGGAGCTCTTTCAGGAGGCTCCCCTACCTGTTGTCCCTTAGAGACCTAATCATCACCAGAGTACCATGTTCATGAAAAGGTCATCTAACAAAGTGAGGCCAGCAATCTGGCAGAAGTAGTCGAGCCCTCCATTAGCAGTAAGAAACAAGGGTCAGATGAGTAACTTCTTCAAATTGGTAACAGCATGAATTTGAGAAGCAGATTATTTTTTGTACAGCAGTGTGAAAATCACCTTATCCTTCTCAAATGTACACTCATTTGTACACAAAGGACCATGTGTATTTTGTTTTTGAAACCAGTTTTACCTCATTGCTTTCTGCTCCTCCTCCATCTGTTCTCTGACCTGCTGTAGTTCCTTCAGCAGCTCAAGATCTGTACCATTCACCCAGGTGTAGACCACATCGATCGGCATGGGCAAACAGAGCCTGCGGTAAACACACAAGCCCTCCAGCTTACATGCACTTTCTCAGTATATTTGGAAAATAACAGGGTTTAAACTTAGAGGTTATGAAAAAATCAATGAAAAGGCAATTCTATCTTGACATATATCACGGAACTGCATGTTTTTAAATTGGGGGGGGGGTACAGATATTTGTCAAGAACCTCCCGAGTTGCATTATGCTAGACATCCTCGTGAAACGTACATTATTTGCTCCTCAGGACTACCCTATTAAGAGGTTGATATCACTCCATTTTAAAGACTAGGGGTAGGGTGCTGTGGTCTTGGAAACTCCATTTAGCCTAGATAACAGCTAGGATTTCATAATTAAGCAAATGAGGGAGCTGAGATACAAATAAAGAAAAAGAAAGAAAGAGAGTGAGTTAGTAAGTTAGTTAGTTCTTGGTCCGCAATGAAGACCTAGCCCTCCTTAATGTGGAGGCCTTCTCGTTTCCTCATGCCTTGCTACTCCCAAGCTCAGCTCCTCCTGATTTTCCTTACCTTGCCGTTTCTCCATTTCCTATTGCACTTATCATCCTTTTAACAAACTAAATTATCACCTATACTGTTAATTAAATGTGCCCCCTCCCTAGAATGTAAGCTCTAAGAAAGCAAAAAAGTTTCTTGCTTTAGTCCCCAAAATATCTGAGCAATTAAAAGAGTACAAGGCACATGGGCTCATAATTGCTGAGAAGTCAGTAATTTGTATGATATTCTAGTACAGAAGACTTTCTTGAACTTGCTCTATTTTTTTCCTGATTATCTCATCTTCAAAATAAGGAGTCAGGCAGACATTTAATTATTGAATGTGTTGCTTATCCCTCACCTTAGTGTTTCCATTCAGGTTGTACTCCTGCCAAAAGCATTCTTCCCCTTTCTCTCATACACTTGCCAAAAACATATCCATCTTTCAGGGAAAGATGCAGAAGCAGTATACATTTGGGTACTGACATTACTTTGGATGGTTCTACTTCAAGTCTTATATTTTTCAAGAAAGTGAATAGTTTGGTTTTGCTGGTGGTGGGGCAGTGTTTCGTTCTTTCTTTCTTTCTTTCTTTCTTTTTTTTTTAATACTCTCCTTGTACACATGTTAAGATCTTTTTTTTTTTTGAGAGGTTTTGCCTTAGGGTGCATGTGCTCACTGGAGAGAGACAGACAGACACAGTAAGAGGGAAAGTGAGAAATCTCTCCCCAGGGGGATGGTCATGTTGTAATACCTTCTCCATTCTCTTCCCGGGATCTTGGGCACAAATGCACACATGCCCAGTGTGATTTTGAAAACACTGGGTCCAGGACTTGAACCACGGTTGGCCATGTGGGAGTCCAGCAACACAACCACTACACCATTTGCTGGTCCTGATTTTTCTATTTTTTTTAGGTCAAAGACCAAAGCTTACCCTCTGTTATGGTTTGGATAACGGTTTGTTCCCCAAAGTTTCATGTTTTGGAATTTGATGTTGGCAGCTGGTGAGGCCTATGGGGTAGCGAGTGGTTCACTGTGATTGCATCACAGAGGCAACACTCTTGTACGTATCAATAGACTAATGATGTCTCTCAAGATCCACTGACTTAGATCACATGAGAAAAGGTTAGTTTTTATGAGAGTTGGCTACTAAAAAAGACAGAGAGCAAGCAGCTTGCTCTCCACATCCACCTGTCATTTTCTGTGCTTCTTTTGACCATGTTTTAGGCCAGCCTATGACTTTGGACTTTCCAGTCTCCAGAACTGTGAGTTAATAAACACCTATTTCTTTATAAAACACCCAGTCTCAAGTACTCAGGTCAGCAATACAAAAAAGGTCTAAGACACCCTCCTTTTGTCTACCTTACAATCCAGGCACAGAATTAGACTTTTGGGTATGATTGTATTATTTTGTGCAGGGTTAATTATTTTATAGGAAAATAAATCTAGTTTTGGTACAGAAATGACAACCACCTTTTTTCCCCCTTTCTTACCGCCAGAAGGTATGTGTGCTCACCAGGGAGAAAGGGAGAAAGAACCTCTCAATGAAGCGAGATCATGCCACAATTTTCTTTCTTCCATTTTTCTATCCCAATCTTGGGCATGCAAACGTTTTGTGCTCTGGACACTGAAAGCACAAGCTTACCCAAATATAATAGGAACACACAGATTCTGTGCCTCTGAACATGCAACATGCTTTTCCACTACCTAGAATGTTTTCTTTCATGTTCTTCTTTTTTTTTTTTTTTTTTTTTTTTTTTTTTTTATGGGGGGGGCCCCCCCCCAAACAGCACAGGGGTGCGTGCACTCACCAGACAGACAGAGAGAGACAGAGAGACAGAAAGCAAGAAATCACCCCCCGGGGGGGATGGCCACGCCACAATCCCTTCTCCTCCATTCTCCTCTCGGGATCTTGGGCACTCAAGCACACGCGCCCGGCGTGAGTTTAAGCCACTGGGTCCGGGACGCGAACCACGGTCGACTACATGGGAGTCCAGTGACATAGCCATTATGCTAACTGCTGGTCCCTCTTTCATGTTCTTTTAACCACCTCCTCCTTCCCTCATCCCTCATCTTCCCTCACCACCACCAAAGGGAATTCACTGCTTAATACACAGCTTCCACAGTGTTTGTACTCTAAGGAATTCTTAGCAAATTGTCCAGACTATTTTTTATGCATCTTCCACTGGAAAGAATATATCTAGGCCAGAAATTGTATCGTTCTATGCCCTGCTTCATTAATTATTTTCTCTCTCTTCTCCATCTTCAGGCTCTCTCTCCCTACTGTAACATTATGCAAAAGCTTCTCCATCTGTTTTTTCTGCCTTTCTATCTCAATGGTTCTCAAACATGAGCAGTCTTCAAAATCACCTGTAAAACAGATTGCTGGTCTCCATCCCCAGAGTCTCCAACTCAACTGGAGTAGAGTGAAGCCCCAAAATTTGCTTTTCTAACCAGTTTCCAGGTAATGCTGATGCTGCTGGCCCAGGAATTATACTCTGAGAATTGCTTATTTATACACAGGTTATACTTCATATTTTTCCCTCACTGAAATGCCAGTTCAGTCTTTTTCACCACTGTAAGCCTACGGCCTAGAACAATGCCTGGTACATGGATAGGGTTTAATATATTTTGCTGGATAACTAATAGGAATAACTATTAGTTATTCCTTCATATTCCTTCACCATATACATCAATTTTTCCAATTAAAAAAGAAAAGTCTGGGGCCAGCAGGTGGCATGGTGGTTAAGGTGCTGGACTCCCACATGGTTGACTACAGCTCAAGTCCCAGCTCTAGAAGTGTGAAAATCATGAGTGTGTGTACACTCAAAATCCTGAGAGAAGGGACTGTAGCGTGGCCACCCGCCTTGGGGTGTGATTTCTCATTTTCCCTCTTTCTGTGTCTCTGTCTCTCTCTGGTGAACATACACATCCTATGGCAAATACTCAAAAAAGAAAGACTAGCTGCCTCATATTACCCACATGTTAATTATCCAATATCACCTCACTTCCAGCCTCCCAGGTGGTTTATGCTCAGACTAAAAATAAATTTTAAAAACCTGCTTAAGTAACATTTTTTTAAAAGAAAGATTAAAAGAGGGAGGGTAGGATTATATATTCCAAAGCTGTCTTGTAAACCTAATTATTTGCTATTCAAGATTTTTTAATAGAAGGGCTGGATGGTGGTGAAGCAGTAATACTCAATGCTCTGTGAGGCTGACACTTGTGAAAAGGTTCTGGGTTTGCCTTGAGAGATCTCCCTGTGTACACAAGGCATACAAATGCCCTTACACCAGGGCTGGTTAAAACTGGAGGTGGCTCAAACTGGTGGTGGATTGCGTTGTCAAAACCCTTTTGGGGTGCTGTCTCTTTCCTCTATTTCTCATGTTCATGGAAGAAATAAATAAAATAAACTTTAAGGATTTTAAAAATAGACTCAAGAGGTATCCATACATGTTCATATGAAGAAAAAAACATTAAGTGAATAATTCATTTATATAATGGCTCTTCTGAAAGGTTGTACTACATGATTAATTTAATTATCTGATGAAACTGACAACCCAAAGGAGATCGTGTGATCTGCTCAAGGTCAATGAGTCAGTTGTTTTTCTGCTATTAGACATGGTCACAGTTAAGTCTGAATCTTTCATTCTAACCACAAACAACTATCTCAGTTCACAAAGGAAAAGGAAGGCTTTAATCTTAGAGCTGAAGACTAAGTCTTCTATGACTCAGAACCAAAGACACTGATACAAATTTATTTTAATCACTGTTTGCTGGAAATGATTAGTAAAGTCACTTACAGTCTCTTGGTTCTACATTCTATACATTCTAGGCGTAGGAAAGAGGTCTGGCACCACAGTGCAGTAGTAAAGAGCTATGCATAGAGGGAGCTAAATCCCACATGACTGACCACAGTTCAAATCCTGGCCACAGTGGCTTGAGAAACACACCAGGTATGTACATGTGTGCATGCCCAAAATCCAGATGGAATGAGGAATGGAGGAAAAAAGACTGTAGTTTGGCCATGCCCCACTGGGGATTCCTTCCTTCCTTCCCTCCCTTTCTCTCTTTCTCTCTCTTTGGAAAGCACACACACTCTCTGGCAATTAAAAAAAGAAAAGAAAAGAAAAGAAAAGAAAAGAAAAGAAAAGAAAAGAAAAGAAAAGAAAAGAAAAAGAACTAGGAAAGAAAACATAGAACTTAAAAATATTGGATCATTGGAAAAGTCATGATGTATTTTTCTGGTTTTTGGGCATGTGCGTGCACGCCCAAAATCCTGAGAGAAGAATGAAGAAGGGATTGCGGCATGGCCATCATCCTTGAGGGGTGATTTTTTTGCTTACTGTCTCTCTGCACATGCCCTATAGCAAAAATCTCTCTTCAAAAAAAATTTAAGTAATCTTAAATACATCTACATGAAAATCAAATTATATTTTAGCGCAATCTAAAATTAAGAGATGGGAGCAGCAGATGGCAAATTGGTTAAGTCCTGGACTCCCACATGGCCGACAGCAGTTCAAGTCTCAGACCCAGTGGCCTGAAACTCACACTGGGCGAGCATGTTTGTACCCAAAATCCCAAAGAAGAAGGGAGAAGAAAGAATTGTGGCATAGCCATTCCCCTTTGGGGGTGATTTCTCACTCTCTGTTTCTGTTATTCTCTGTCTCTCTAGTGAGTGCACATGTCCAATAGCAAAAATCTTTCTTAAAAAAATAATAAAATTTAAAAAAATAAAATTAAGAGAAATATTTCACTCAATATTTTTTAAATTCTTTAGAAAGAAAACAAGAGAATTTGGGACCAGCAGTTAGCGTAATGGCTATGTCGCTGGACTCCCATGTAGTCGACCATGGTTCAAGTCCCAGACCCGATGGCTTGAACTCACGCCAGGCGTGGGTGCATGCATGCCTAAGATCCCTAGAGGAGAAAGGAGGAGAAGAGATTGCGGCATGGCCATCCCCCCAGGGGGTGATTTCTCGCTTTCTGTCTCTCTGTCTATGTCTTTCTGGCAAGTGTACATGCCCTATAGCAAAAAAAATCTCAAAAAAAAGAAAACAAGAGAATTTGATTCAAGTTAATGACCTCAGTGGCCAGTCAGGTAGTGTGGTACTCAAGTAGGATGGATCCCTGCAAGGTTGACTGTGTGGTTCGAGTCTGGGACCAATGGATTAAAAAACATGCCAGGTACTTGTACATATATGCCCAAAATCCTGAGAGGAGAATGGAGGGGGAGAAATTGTGCCATGGTCATCTCCCCAGGGGGTGTTTTCTCACTTTCCCTCTCTATTTCTTTCTCTCTCTCTCTCTCTCTCTCTCTCTCCAGTAAGCACATGCACCTTATAGCAAATTATAAAACAAATAAACAAAACTAATAATCTCAAAATCTTGACTTTTTTTTTTCTTTATTTACTATAGGGCATGAGACAAAGGGCATAAAGTCAGAGAGAGACAGAGAAAGTGTGAAAAAGCAACCCTTGGGGAGACTGACCATCCTGCCATTCCTTTTCCTCCATTCTCCTCTGAGAAGTTTTAGGCACACATGCACACACAATACCTGGCATGTTTTTCAGCCACCAGGTCCAGGATTTGAACTGGATGCAGTTGGCCATGTAGAATCCAGCCACCTTAACCATTATGCCACCTAGCTGGCCCTACATTTTCTAACAAACTAGTTTTCTTTCTAAAACCTCAAAGCCCCTGAAGGGAGGCAGGAATTTATATATCTGTGATCATCGCACACAGCACAATGTAAGGCACAGAGAGTAGATGCTCATGAATGTGTGAGTTACAAAAGTCAATGGAGGCCCAGCTGCAGTGGCACAGGTAGTAGGGGAACTGCTGTGCAATGCTGGAGAACAAAGGCGGGTGCTCCAGGTTCTTCACTGGGCCTACCTTAACACCTACCTAGCTGGATGCAGGGCTGGGAGAAGGATCACAGAGTGAAGATCCTATCAAGAGTGCATACCTCTGTCTTTCTTTCTCTCTCTCATTCTAAGGAAATAAATAAACTTTTTTTTATAAAAGTCAATTAGGGCTTGGGACCAGCAGTTAGCGTAATGGCTATGTCGCTGGACTCCCACATAGTCGACTGCGGTTCATGTCCTGGACCTGGTGGCTTAAAACTCATTCCGGGCACGTGTGCATGCATGCCCAAGATCCCGAGAGGAGAATGGAGGAGAAGGGATTGTGGTGTGGCCATCCCCTCTGGGGCGGAGGGTGATTTCTCGCTTTCTATCTCTCTGTCTGTCTGTCTGGCGAGCGCATGCGTCCTACAGCAAAAAACCTCTAAAAGAAAAAAAAAAAGGTCAATTAGGGCTGGCTCTATAGCACAGCAATTAAGAGCTACACAGAGGAAGCAGGATCCCAAAAGACTGACTAGAGAGAGAATTCCGCCAGCTTGAAAAATACACTAGAGTATTTACAGGGTTTAGTACTATCCCTGGTTTCTGGTGTCTACTGGGGTCTTGGAACAGATAAGAAGGGACTACTCTAATCAAATCTGAGTAATTGAACTGTCATTTGTCCCAAGTAACAAAAGTATTACTGAAAAGAATGGTAACTTAGGGAACCAGCAGTTAGTGTAATGGCTATGTCGCTGGACTCCCATGTAGTCGATCGTGGTTCGTGTCCCGGACCCGGTGGCTTAAAACTCACGGCGGGCGCGTGTGCGTGCGTGCCCAAGATCCCGAGAGGAGAATGGAGGAGAAGGGATTGTGGCGTGACCATCCCCCCTGGGGGGTGATTTCTCGCTTTCTGTCTCTATGTCTCTATCTGTCTGTCTGGCGAGCACACGCGCCCTAGAGTGAAAATCTCTCCAAAAAAAAAGAATGGTAACTTAGCTTGCGACTTGATCACACAGGTATTTTTTCTCAAGACAATCACCATGTAGTCAAGCACTTTATGTATGCTTCCCATTTTATCACCCAGAATTTTTAAAAGTTACATACTCAAAGGATTGAGTTATAATTAGGTAATTTTTTTTTATTGCTTCATCACGAACATTTTTAAGTGAAACTAGTTTTTTCTTCCTCCTGCAAAGATGTGGTGATGAAGAATACAATCAATCACATTAAGGTGTGAGCAGTTTTACCCATCTTTGTTTTTACGCCATCAATGCAAATGTCAACATAGTTTAAAAAGGCAAATAACAACTTAGTATTTGTTATAAAAAGAGCTTCAATTTCACAGATTTCTTGAAAGACCTCAGGACCTCTCCTTCATCCCCACCAGCCCCCATGGTCTTTGAAAACTGTGCCTTTAAAGGGAATCTAAGGAAAAAATATAGAGTTTCCCTACTTTGCTAGAGATTTACTTATAAGCTATCTCCCCTACTAGGCCATTATGGCAGACAGTCACATCTCAGTGTCTACAAGAGGGTAAGGATGAAAGATCTAACCTTCGTTGAAGGGACACCATTCAAACTAGGGCCGACTCAAAGACAATCGCAGTCCTTCTTTATTGGGATATTCGAAACTATAATGGCGTCTGATACCATACAGTATAATTAGCACAGTTACTTTAAAAACTACTTATTTGATAGAAACCATATAAGTACTGATAATATGTGAGAGGAGGGAGGGACAAGGAAATGCCTCTAAGCAAGAGACAGGGGCTCCAGCATCAGAGGCTCTCAGAACATTCACCAGCTACTAGGAAGGTGCACAAACTGACATAAATTATTACCTGCAGTTTAACTAAGTTTTCTGGTTCAGTGAGAATAGAGGGAAAGATTCATGAGATCAATTCTCAGGGAAAAATGGACAGATTCCAGAGAAAGTTTCAGTTATGATTTCTAATATTTGGGCCAAGGTCTTGTGTGGGAATCAATGACCTTTGCTAACTATGTTTATTTTGGCTCCCACCTGCTCCTTGCCCTGTGGTATAACTGTGTGCCATGGCAATGAACTGCATAAAAGTACATAAAAAAAGGAGAAGAAAGGACTTGGTTTATTTTTTGAAGTTAGAATGATGATCGCAGAAGAACCAAAACAAAAATTCACTGGGCCAGCAGGAGGCATGGAGGTTAAGGCACTGCATCCCACATGGCCAACTGCATGGTTTGAGTCCCAGACCCAGTGGCTTTAAAATCATGCCAAGCAAGTGCATGTGTGCCCAAAATCCTAGAGGAGAATGGAGAAGGGATTGCAGCACGGCCATCCACCCTGGGTAATGATTTTTCTCATTTTCTCTCTCTCCCCCTCCCCTGCTCTCTCCCTCCTTCTCTCCCTCTCTTCTCTCTCTCTCCCACCTCCTACCTCCCTCTCCTCTCTCCCCCTCCCCCTTTCCCCAGCAAGCACATGTGCACTATGGCAAACTAAAAAAAAAAGGAATAAAATTTATTAAGAGTAGTTCCTTCAGGTGAGAAAAAGTTGGGAATGGAACAGAGAGAGACTTACTTTTTATTTTTCTGTATTATTTGAACTGTTTTGACCATAGACATAAGAGGTCTTCAAAAAGCTCATGGAAAAGGCATATTATGAGGAGCTACACAGATTTCAAATTTTTGTACCAAAATAAACTCATACTTTAAACTTATTTCCCATACACTTTTTGAAGTCCCCTCATATATTGCTATTATGGCCTAAAACAATACAAGTAATAATTTTATGAACGAAAACCAAAAGGATCTATGTGATTCATTTTATCTGCATGAAGGGAAGAAAGATGTTGGGAAAAAAAACTGCTTCTATTCTAAGGCCTGTCTTGTGATGGAGTGAAAAAAATCCCCAAGGACTGGAAAACATGAAATGGCACTGCAAAGTGGCTGCACTAAGAAATTTGGCCTGACAGCAAGAAAGACACATACTGTGAGGCTGTTTTCTCCTCTCCCACAGAGAAGCAAGGAAAGGTGGTGACCAGCGGGGCAGAGTCCAGCCCTGGTGGGTAACTCAGGAGTGACCCAGGTTAACAGAACGCTGTCGAAGACTTCTGCCTAGGACTTAACAGTACTCAGAACTGGGTGCATGGTAGCCACCTGGTGTCCTCATCCTATATGGGAGGAAATTCCCTTTACCCTTGAGAACTAAGGAATATAAAATGAGCTCATACAAATTAAAGCACCTGGTAAACTGCAATACAGGATTACTGTTTGGGAATCAGACTTTTCAACTATAAGATGTGGTAAAGCGTTTTCCTGGCTGAGTGTATTCTTGAATAAGTTAAAACTGTATCTATGACTTGGAAAGCCCACTTCCTTGTCATATTTAAAGCATGAATAATTTCACAACTCATTTAAATTTAGGTAACAGACATTCTCCAATATAGATCTTTTCTCACCGGTTCTGAAAGGATTTTCCAGCAATGTTGTCTCTATAGGAATCAAACAAAACATGATATTGATCTCGACTCCACTCCAGTACCACCTGGGGGGAAAAAAAAGAAAGAAAAAAATGTTTTATTTGTATCAAAAACTAAGAATAGGCATGGTAGTGCACTATGTGCTGCTAGTTAGCAGGCTGAAGCCACATGGGCGGCCTGGGTTCAATTCCCCACCCACTGAAAAAGCAGAGTGCAGTGGCATACACCTATATTCCCAGCTATTCAGGAGACTGAGGCAGGATGATGAAAATATACCAAGACTCTGTCTTAAAAAGAAAACAAACAATTCCCACTTACCCGCCATAAAAAAGAAACACACACTAACAGTAGATAACATTTTCATTTCATTTTAATTTCAATTGGAATTGTTACACGAACAGGTAAAGCAATCCAAAATCATTCATACATACGGTAAATAGAGGGAAGAAAATTGAGCATTTTATGGATCTGGGGTGCAGACCTGAGGGAGCTCCTATCCATAGTTTCACATTTGCTCCTGACTTCTCACCATATACCAGATACCATGTTAGATCTAGAATAAGCTAGCCTAGACAGCCTGAAAGACTTAGTGTCCACTGTCCTTAGAATGCGGGTTAGGAAAATCAAAGGGACTTAAAAAGGTGTATTTGGGGACCAGCAGATGGTGCAATGGCTATGTTGCTGGACTCCCATGTAGTCGACTGCGGTTCGAGTCCTGGACCTGGTAGCTTAAACTCATGCCGGGTGCATGTGCGCGCGTGCCCAAGATCCCAAGAGGAGAATGGAGGAGAAGAGACTGTGGTGTGGCCATCCCCGCAGGGGTGATTTCTTGCTTTCTGTCTTTCTGGTGAGCACACGTGCCCTATTACAAAAACCTCTCAAAAAAATATATATATATATATATATTTGAATTGGGTCTTGACAAATGAGTTTACCACGTACAGAGAATGGGACAGTGCCAACCACTGGAAAAACATGTTCACAGGCTGAGAAACAGCAAAGGAGGCTGTGCGAGGATAACTGTGGAGTTGGCTTTGTTTAGAGCACAGGTAATAACTAGAGAGAAATGGGACTGGGAAGGGAGCCAGGGCCTGACTGTGACATACCCTGTGTGCCTTGGGACAGAGAGACGCTGAAGATTGTAAGGCAGCTACATTATCTGTTTAAGTCTGGGAGACTTCTCATAGCATATAAGAACACGAGCTGACTTAAAGGCTCCAACAGGAAAGGACAATGACAACTTCATTACCTCGGAAGTTTCAGCTGGTGACCTTGTTAGTTATTTCAGGAGCAAATGTAAAACTATGGATAGGAGCTTCCTCAGGTCTGCATCCCAAATCTATAAAGTGCTCAATTTTCTTCACTCTATTTACCATAGAGGAACTGTCCCTCCTTAAAAACATCAAATCTTAGTCCATTTGCTCTGGATTTCAACTCCCCTGTTTTGTTTTGTTTTGTTTATTTTTTATTTATTTCTTTTTGTATATACATTCAATCGCATTGTTTAGCTTACAAAGTGAGCATTTCAATATGTGAACATTTCTCCCCATGTGAACATTTCTCCCCATGTTTTTAAAACCTTGCATTCTTCCTCTTTTCTTCTCAGAATTTTTCCCACTGGCACACAAACATGTTTTAGTATCTTGGGAAAACCTTCCCTTGACTCCATATCCCTTCCAACTAATTGCTCTACTCTCAATTTCCTGTCCTCTTTAAAGTTATCACCCACTCTTTCATTCACCCTTCAGCCCACTCCAATATCACTTCCACCCTCACTACTTCAGGGGCTTATCAAGGCCACCATGTTATAAAATCTAAAGGCATTTTCCTGATCGCTATCTTTCTCATTTCATCACAGTTACCCAGTTTCTCCTTCTCAAAACAGTTTCTAAGTTTTTCTCCTATTGCTGATGGCTCCTTTTATGTCCCCTTTGCCAACTCATCCTCTTCTACTGATCTTTAAATATATTCTTTCATTCTGTTACTCTTCCTAGAATCCCCGCTTTCCTGCCAAGGCTTCTTCCAGCTTCCTAGCCCAGGATGTGGTCCTGTTACATTCAGATGGCTATGGGAGTCATTTGGATTTCATTCCCACCAGCAGAAAAGGGAAAGATGTTCCTCCTTTTAGGAGACTTTTCAGAAAGCTGCAAGTACCAGTTTTATTTTCATTAGCCAGAACTGAATCACCTGACCACAGATGGCAGCCTGTGTATCTACGTGCCCTGCTACAATCACTTGTTTCTTTTCATGGCACTCAGACTCTTCAGTATCTGGCCCCTGTCTACCTATACTGCTTCACTTCATTGGGATGCTTCACAAACACCACACATTAAACTAGTAATTCTCTCTCTCAATGTATTTATTTAAAAACACTTACTGAGTGTCTAATATGCCTGGTAATAGGTTTAGTAACAGGGATGAGCCAAGTTCCCTGATTTTAAAGAACTATGGTAAGGTTAGCGAGTGGCATTGTGGTCATGGTGCCATATTTCCACATGGCTGAATGCAGTTCAAGTCCAGACCTGGCAGCCTGAAAAATCACACCAGGTGCATGTTCATGCCCATAATCTCAAGTGAAGAAGGGACTGCAGCATGACCATCACCCCTGTGGGGTGATTTTTCACTTTCCCTCTCACTGTCTCTCTCTCTGTCTCTCCATCTCTCTTCAGCAAGCACACACACGCTATGGCAAAAACTTTAAAAAAAAATTATGGTCAATTATTCTCCTTAATTTTATTAATATATAATTGACAAGTAAAAATTGTATTATTTGTGGTATATAACACACACACACACACACACCCCTCGTTAGATTGGATCAACCTAATTTAACTATCCATCACTTCACACATTTATCTTTATCTTTTTTTTGTGGTGAAATCTACTCTCTCAGCAATCTCTAGAATTTATTCACCATACTGTACAATAGCTCTCTAGAAAGTATTTATTCTGACTGAAACTTTGTATCCTTTGCTCAACATCTCCCCATTTCCCTGTAGTGAATTTTTAGTAGAGAGGTTCACTGCTGACTACAGCTGCTCTGAAGGAACACCTGATTCTTGTAGGAAAACACCAAGAAAGACTCCCTTGAAGCAATGTTAGCAGAGTCTTAAAAGATAAACAGGAGTCTGTCAGCAATTCCACTGGAGAACAGAGGGTGTATTGGAGGGATTTGCTACCAGATGGATGGAGGAGTAAAGAAGGAGAGACTTAATGATGACTGCCAGGTTTCTAGTATTTCTGGTATAAATGACTGAATCAACAGTGGGACCATTTAATGACATGGGAGAAACAGAGGTAGTGGTAATAAAAGCTGGTGGGGCTCAAGGGGCCCATTTTAGTCACAGTAACACACGCATGCAACTGGCCTCTCCAATGGGAATGCAAATTCCTAGAAGGGGAATGAACTCTACCCTTGGTATCATATCTATAGCACCAAACCTAATGGCGGACACACACTATAAATACCATCTACTTTGCTAATTATATGTGTGCTTACTTCTAATAAAATGGTCACATGGTTTTTTTATCAATTTATTGAGCATGAACAGAATGATTGTCCATCAACAAATCTGCATAGTTTGCAAAAGAACAACCAGTATATTTAATACTTTTGTGAAACAAACCACCAAAACCTCTCCCCACAAAACTGTTATTGGCTGTTGTGTTACCCAGCATATGGAGAGAAATCGTCAGAGAAGGTACAAGTCACAGCCAGCCAAGAAAAGTTCATGTGCAGTATGTTGCCATATTTCCTCCTTCATCAGGGGTTTGGCCATCTCTAAACAACTTCAGTGCACTAGGAAGAGGAACAATAGCAAAAGGGTCTCCTTGCAACACAATCAGAACATTCATAATAGTCCAGCGTTCTGTACATTTAGATCTCAGGGCAGGTGGTAGGAGTAGTAAGTTATAACTCAGGATACATGAGTGAGTTTTCATACCAGCTGTGCCATTTTTATACAAGACTCCTAAGTAACCCCTAAAGAACTTTAAGCTAGGGACCAGCAGTTAGTGTAATGGCTATGTCGCTGGACTCCCATGTAGTCGACAGAGGTTCGCATCCCGGACCCAGTGGCTTAAACTCACGCCAGGCGCATGTGCATGCGTGCCCTAGATCCCGAGAGGAGAATGGAGGAGAAGGGATTGCGGCGAGGCCATCTCCTCTGGGGGGTGATTTGTCACTTTTTGTCTCTCTGTCTGTCTGGTGAGCGCATGCGCCCTACAGCAAAAACCTCTCCAAAAAGAAAAAAAAAAAGAAAAGAACTTTAAGCTATTTCTTCATTGGTGAAACAATGAAGATTAGACAAAATCATCTTTGGAATATCTTCCGATTCTAAAATTACATGACTAAAGGCAGAGCTGTGTGGCTGGGGGCTGGCCTGGTTTCCTCCCTGTGTCTACACACACATCGACCCCATAAGGACACAGCATCACTTCCAGTCTTCGGCCTCCTCTGGGTCCTCTTCTCTGGTCCTAACCCCATCAGCATTTGAATTTGATTCTCTTCTATCACAACCATTTCCCTTTTCTGCTTAATCCCACAGAGATTAAGCAATTAACCCCGTATTTAGATCCTAGTATGGAAATCTTCCCAAATTCCTTTTTAAATAAATGAGTAATGTGCCACACAAGGAGTCAAAAACAAATCTTGGAGAATCTAATAACAATCATCTAAGGGAAGGCAGGCCCTATAGCCTAGTGGCTAAGGGAATCGGGTCCCACAAGGCCAACTGTAGTTTGAATCCCGACTGCAGAGGCCTAAAAAACATGCCAGACATATGTACATGTGTGCCCCAAATCACAACGGGATGGAGAAATGGAGAAACTACTGTAGTGTGACCACACACCATTAGGGGGACAGTGCTTTCTGCCCCTCTCTCTGTCTCTATCAAGCACACATGCTCTCTGGCAGTTTAAAAATAATAAATAAATAAATTCATCTAAGAGTTAGTATCAGACTGTATACTACCAAGGATGGAATACAGTAGACATTTGAATAGGCAATTATAAAATTGTTTATTCGAGGATAAGCTATAAAAATATAAACACCTTCCAAACAACA